TTATCTAATAAAAAAGTGCATTTCTTGCTAAAATTAGTGGTGCGCGTTATCTACGGGGTGCGCGTTATATGTAGTTAAAAATATATCAAACAAAAAAGTATTATTAAAATATTCTAGTTTATCAATAAACATAATTATAATTACAGTCAACTATCTATGCTGTCAACTACTCTATGTTATCAACCAAATCCCAAATCCCCACCACATAGACCTAATGTTAAAATTATCTCGATGTTGTCAACTAATCTATGTTATCAACCAAATCCCAGGAACCATTCTGTTGACAGCATCGATAGTTGACTGTAGTATAAAAATCAATCAAAGTCAAAATCTGATTCTGTTTCAAACACAATTCTAATATCTAATAACATGTCTTCTGTGTCTTATGTGTTTTCATCTTCAGATATATCAAATTCAAAATCAATAGTGATTTTGTTTAAAATTTATTTAATTACAACAATTAATCACAATTTTTTGATTTAAATTGTATTTTAAAAACACACGTTTAATCTAACACTAATAATTCAACATTAATAAGATTGAAGTATACAGTANAGATATATCAAATTCAAAATCAATAGTGATTTTGTTTAAAATTTATTTAATTACAACAATTAATCACAATTTTTTGATTTAAATTGTATTTTAAAAACACACGTTTAATCTAACACTAATAATTCAACATTAATAAGATTGAAGTATACAGTAGGGGCTATGCGCGTTATACACGGGGTGCGCGTTATCTATAAATAATTTTTTATTCATAAATATTGTTAAATTTCTTACTGCGCGTTATACACGGGGTGCGCGTTGTCTATGGGATATTACGGTAATTCCGGTATTCTTAACAACCAATTCATAAACAGATATTACTTTTCCTCGTTTTACTCCTCAGTATGTGTTTTGTTAATAACTTTTTTCATTTTTTCAACAGATTTACAAAATATTAGTTTCAGTATTACTGTCCTATACTATAGTTGTCTCTCTTTTTTACACAGATTTTTATAAATAAAATCAATTAATTTTTGGCTACTAATTAAACTTGTTTTAATTAAATTATATTAGAGATTTAAGTCGACGTGTATTTTAATCCAAATTATTTTAAATTAATAAATCGTTATTTGTTCCCAAACTCTTAACAGTACTGTTTGTAACGTAATATTTATTTTACGGGTAATTCAACATTTACTCGAGAAGAATAGCGCATACAGTCAGCGAAAAATACGAATAATATAAAATGGATTACAAAAGTGAGTTCAAAGAGTTGGACGAAACGTTTGCCAAAATAATGTCGACTATAATACCGGCAAAACCGGCAAAAGAGTTGATCTCAACGATGGAGTGGTTGAAGGAATGCATATTATATAACGTTCCGCACGGAAAGCGCAACAGAGGTCTGGCAGTGGTCTCGACGTATCGTATTCTCGCTGAACAACAAACGAAGACACCGACGCCTCAAGAGCTAGAGTTGGCGCGAGTGCTCGCCTGGACCGTCGAGTTTCTTCAGTCATACTTTCTCGTTGTCGACGATATGATGGATCAGTCAATCACAAGACGCGGACAGCCCTGTTGGTACAAACTGGTCTGGATACTTTTTTGTTTGTACTTTTTCAATCATAAAATACAATAATAGTTTGAATCATAAGATTCTTAAGCTCAATAAGTTTAAAACATTATTTAAAACTCGTGAATTATTAAATGATTGATAATTGATGCAACTAATAGGAGCATGTTGGTCTTATGTCATGCAATGACGCTATTTTGTTGGATCAGGAAAACTATCACATCCTTAAGCTATTCTTCTCAGACAAACCCTATTATCAGAAATTAGTGGATCTCATGCATGAGGTGAGCATTTGTTACCCAAAATGGGCGACATATACTCTGAATATTATATTCATATTAATATGTAATTTATAAAAAAAGTTTATAATCTACTTCAATATAAATAGACCACACGGTTTACGTCATACGGACAGAGTATGGACGCGGCTTCCAATCCTCCCAATAAACGGCCGCAGTTTCATCTCTTCACTCAATTACAACACGAAAGCGTTGTTAAATATAAAACCGCTTTCTATTCGTTTGTTTTGCCCGTAAGACTCGGTATGAATTGTATGATAATTAATATTATAATACATTTTAATATATTTATTGAGGCATTTTATATAAATTATCAATTTTTACGCAATGGATGAAAGTAAACAACAATAATGAGCAGCTAATCTGATATATAACTGCTTTGATCTGATTATTTTAAATATTTACAATTTCCTTAGCAAGGCGTTTACTAAAATTTAAGTGAATACTAATCTTTGTATCAAAATTACTGTTATATAGCGCTGTATATGTCATCGTTTGATTCCGAAGAAGACCACAAAATAGCCGAAGAAATACTATTAAAAATCGGACATCTATTTCAAGTACAGGACGACTATTTGGACTGTTTTGGAGATCCGGCTATTATTGGCAAAATAGGCACCGATATAGAGGAGGGCAAGTGTTCGTGGCTTATCGTAA